TAAAAAGCAATCTCAGAACCCAGTTAGTGCATTAAGAGGTTCATATTGACAAAAGAAATCTTGGAATCACTGAACTGTCTAGATATTGCAGATATGTGAAGGTGTCAGACTGTTTTTTGTATTTTTGTAAAGTGTAATGGTTATGTTAGGTAATAACTTCAGTTCTTGCTTTAGCAAGGCATTAGTAGTTCCATAAATATATTAATTTTGGATTAGAAAAGCTAATAGAAATATTAATTTGGTAGCCTGGGAGGGTTTTGAACACATTTTTTAACATTCCAAGAAACTGAGAGGTTGGCTATTTATTTAGACCTGCTGAAAGCCATAAAAGTTGTGACACTCCATGTTGTGAAATATACTCGTCCCTCACAGAATTCATATCCATGATCAGCATGTCTTGTCTCACTGTAAAGCATACCTGCAACTTCAAGAGGCTCAATTAGGCAATCTGTAGAGTTCCAGCCTCCTGTCTTCTTCACTCTTACCCCCCTCCACAAGTCTCAGCTGCATGCTCACAGCCAGCTCACTTGCCAGACCTGCTCAGCCACTGATGGAGGGCAACTTCCCACCTCTCCCAGGAGGCTGCATTGTCTTCTGCTGCACTAGTGAACCCCACGGATTAGGGGTTAGACCTCACAGGGAGGTCTAACAGGTACTGGAGGCAGTACAAGGGAGAAACAGGACCACGTAGCAAGGAAAACCACTTCTCCATTACAAGCAACCAGCTCTTCACTGCAGATTTCATTAGTTTACCATAGGAAAATAAATGAGTCAATCTCTAAGTACCTTAACTGATTCTACAAATGCCAGCAAGCACTGTGAGATGCCACCAAAATAAACTAGCAGGAAATACTATGGACTAGCCCTACTTCTCGCTGAAGATTTTAGGCAACTCTTTCCTCTTAGGAAGGAACCGTGAACATCTATCTGCCTTCTTTAAAGTAGGTACTAAATCCCTTCTTTCAAAATTAGAACTGAAGGCACACTTATGGCACTGATACTTGCTTTTTATATCATGTGTCCTTACAAGTGTTTGCTGTGTCGTCCACCTCAAGTTAGTCCTGTTCGTGCCACTGCCTGAGGGGATTCCAACCCTCTTTTTGCCCCATATGCACCCTAGCCGCCAGGCTGGAAGACAGCCTGGTACGGTGGGAGGTGAGTGTGGAAATGTTTTCTCCTCTCCAGCCAAGGGTAGAAGTTCTGTCTGTTCCAAAGAGGACGACTCCATAGTCTGATATTGAACGCAGTTGTCAGAATGGTCTGCTTATGTATTTAGGGCATTTATTTCTGTAGCACATTTTGTCTAACAATTTTAATGCCAAATACTCAGTTGTGCAAACAGGGATCAGAAATACATTCCTTCCAAAACTCTAGCCAAAAAGCTAAATAGTCATGCCATCTAATAACATGCGTTTATTTTGTAATAAAAATGCATCACTGTTAATTCAACAAACAAATTTGAAATGGATAGAAGGAAGTATTTTGTGAGTAATAATGTAATTTAGCAGAGTCCATCACGCTGGGAGGGGTGAGTATCCGTAGTTACGTTGTTTGTAATCATCCTGCTCTAGGATTTAAGTACTGGCTGACTCTGGAAGAACTGTCCTTGCTGATTATAAGACCCTGCTGTGGACAAGGAGCATTTAAGAAAAAAAATGTTCACTCTGAGCATCGTGAGACATTGGCACAGGGTGCCCAGAGAAGCTGTGGCTGCACCATCCCTGAAGTGTTCAAGGCCAGGTTGGTTGGGGCTTTGAGCAACCTGGTCTAGTGGAAGGTGTCCCTGCCCATGGCAGGGGGGTGGAACTTCGTGATCTTTAAGGGCCTTTCCAACCCAAACCATTCTGTGGTTCTGTATGTCCTTAATTTTCATTAGACAAAATATTGCACTAACATGTGCTTCCGTGCACAACCTGCCTAATATGTGAATTGCATAAAATCTGATGTAATTTAATAAAACCTCAACCCAGCTCATTTTGCAAACATCCACAGACCTGGAGGTGAAAACTTCTAAGCAATTTTAAGGAGGTTAGTTGTTTTTACTTTTCTGCCCTTACAGTGTTGGCATGCTTGTAGCACTACTTACCCCTGTGTTCACAAGGATGCAGTGTGCTTATCACAACTGTCTTATTTACTGCTTCCTCAGATTTATGCTTTTCTGAGTTAGTGAAAGAATGAGAAGAAGGGTAGAGAAGGGTGAGAAGCCTGTGATAGTTTCTGCATAAATTAGACAAGGTTTACAGGTATGGATAGTGTCATTCAAGTGGTAGAGCTGAAAAACATAAAGTAAGCTTGCAAGCATACAAGTCTTTCTTCAGATCTGAAAATTAAATAGCAACTTGCTAAAACTAAAACCAGAACAACTGCTTAGTGTTTGGTTAGGTGTGTATCAAGTAGATCATCTCTGAAGAAAAGGTTAGTGGCATTCCAGAAGTGCAGGGGATGTTAATCAGAGAAGGGAGACAGTATTATGAAAATGCTCATCACCTAGGAGAAAGGAGGGAGAAGGTAAAACCCTGTTGGAAGCTGCATGAAAGTTATGTACCATAAAAAGTCTTTCTGTTTAGTCAGTGGTGTATTGATGTGCAGTCCAGCCAGAAGCTTGTCTTAATTTTCCAGATAAACAGGTACATTTAATAAAAGATGACCCATCTGCCTAGGTACTTTGTTACGTTTATGCCCTGAAACCATCAGGGCTACAGCAAAATACTGCTGAAATGGAACATGAAGAAATTAGGGCAGTAATTAACATGAGTTATATGACTGCTCATGACCAGAAGAGCTTTTCGTTAATAAACCCAGTATTTTCTATTTTATGGGGTATTGATTTCTAACTAGGGAGCTGGAGAGTTGCCCAGAGAGCTGTGGAGTCTCTCTCCTAGGAGGTATTCCAGACGTGCTGGGACAAATCCCTAAGCAGCCTGGTCCAAGGTCAGTTCTGACCACACTTTGAGTAGGAAGTGGGCTAGTGACCTCCAGAGACCTCTTCCAGCCTCAAGGATTCAGTGTTACGGTGTCTGATCTCAGGTGTCTGATTTATGTGGTTAAGATGGATGCGTCCTCTCCCTAGACAAGCAATCATATGCTCTTGCATTAATAAAGCCCCAAACTCAGTGACTACATTCAGATAGTATATATTTCTCTCTACACTGTAACAATGCTTCTGTTTTAGTAGAACTGCTTTTCCCTTGGAGGAACAGCACAATGTTTTTACAGGAAAATTAACTCTTAAAATCAACATATTGGAATAGGAGAAGGCCATTTTTCCTTGATATATGCACAGTGTGTTCAGGCTTCTCAAACCAAGTGGTTTGCTGGAAAGTCTTTATGCTTTAAGTTGCTTATCTTTGTTTACACAGTCTAGAACAAGCAGTGCAAGTTTGAGTCTCATATTAACAACCTTAAACTTTCTTAAGTCAGAAATTACTTTTTCTCCTTAATTTTTGTTAAACCTATTTGTTGCAGCCTCAGAATTGCCTTTTGTTGCAGCCTCAGAATTGCCCTTTTTACCCTCCTCCCTTCCATCTGTCCCAAAGGTATTTTTTTATTTGCTAAATAATTCATTGTCGGAAACTTCCTTAAAAATCCTGTTAAACCCATCACAAAAAATCAAATACTATGTTTTCTTCTCACCTATGATTGTGGATGTGATACCAAAACTTCACTAGTTCTAATGTAGTGGAAAATTCAAGTCTTCTAATAGTCCTGTTCTGTTTCAAGTCCAGCAAAAAAGGCAGTTGGGATACAAATTGATATGCAAAACGCTGAGCACACTTTTCAGATGTGCTGCTGTTTCTGAACTTCAGTATATAGTATCAGGGTGAAACGTCTGGCCACAGGACTTGTATAGTTGATTAAACAACCACCTACTTGTACAAATGTTTCTGCAGAAATATTTCCGAAATTTGCTTTGAAATTAGCATCACTGTACAACTCTTTTCTCCCTTTTCCTCCTGAGCAGCCTCAAAATAGTTTACAGTAGATCCCTGAATTACCTTATTTTCATCTAAATTAGAATTGCCACATCTTTATTTTGGCTCAGTCATCAGTTTTTTTCATTATCCAGTTAAATGTAGGTATCCATGGGATAATGCACCTACAGTTTTGCTGAGTTCAGGAGACCTGGTGTGCTATACAAAACTCAATGGTTGTGTTGAGTTTGCTAGGTGAAGGAAAGTGGATGTAGTAGTCAGGGCATGCCAGACTTTTTTTGTGCCATAGTACAAGACAAGCAGTAAAGATGACATTTGTAGTCTGAAGATTTCTAAAAGCGAAGGTATAGTTTATTTTCTTGTCCTCTTTTACTTTGGGGCATCCTATACAATTACTGCCCTCTGATATGTTATGCCTTTGATAACTTTTTGAAGGCTTGTAGAAAGAATAGTTTTATTCTGAGTTGCCTTAGAAGTGAAATATTCCATATGTCAGTGTACCTAATGTTTGTCTTTCTGACATTGTGTTTGGTCATGACAGTCTTAGGTACCTGTACAAAAATGGAAAAACCTTCCGAGTAACTTTCAGCTGCAGTGCTAAGCCTTTGCAGTACAACTGCCAGTATTAACTAATGCAGCATAGCAGCAGTAGGTGCAGTTAGCAGAAACATCATAGAAATAGAATTTTTATCTACTTAAAATGACAATCAAGACAGAAGGAAGTGTTAAAATTTGCAGACAATAGGAAAAATGCTGCAGAAAAGTTTTGTTTTCTGTATCAGTTTACCAGCTTGTAACATCCAAATGTAAAATTTGACTATTTTAATGTAGGTCTATTTTTCCTAAGAAAAATAGATAGGACTGCTGGAAGAAAGATACACGCTGTCTTCACTCAAAACTAATTGCTTTTCCTTGAAGAGATGTTTTTTATGTTCTTGTTTGTTACTGAAAAGTTGTTTCTTGTCAAAATGGGTAACATTTTACAGAATAATCTAGAGAGTCAGGAAACAGTAATTTTTGCAGCAGATAGCTTTTTGCTTTCCTTGTTTCTGGTTCAGTCACATTCAGATGAATGGACTTGGATCCTTCTCCTACCTTGGCTGAAGCCTGTTGTTCAGCAGAAGGATTTTAATACACTCCCTGAGCAGCATTACAATGTTAACAGCACACGAACATATTGTGATCCTCTGTTTTTTTCTCCAGAAATACTTTGACCTTAACTGTTCTATATCAAATGATGTATTTTGAACTTTAAGAAGCAGTTTAGCCAAAGTCCTTGACTGAACTGAATTTTTCTGATAGAGAAAGAAACATACTGGTAGTTTTTATAAAAATTCAGTTGTGATTTACTCTGGTTTTTTTTTTGCTGGTGTGCTTCCATCAATTTTCAGTCTTAAGGCCCATCGGTTTAGAAGTCTTTTTTTCTCTTGGGGAATCAAAATATTCTGTTAGCTGGGTTCAGTTTTACCCTTGGTGAAAGTAGGAACTAACATGCCATTCAGCTCATGAATTTGTCCAAGTTACAATTTTCTTAATAAAGAAAACTGTCAAACATTATAAACAAGGAATAGTCCCAGTCCACCAAACGAAATCTAAAAGGGAGAGATCCTTTGCAGTTATTTAAGCCGAAGGGAGTTTTGTGGCAAATGCAAATCAAACCAAGCTTTTCTGGGATAGTGAGAAGCTATTCACAGTAGCGTCCCAATTACATTTTATTTGAGGCTTTTCCCATAGAAAATAGTAATTTTTTTCCCCTTGAAATATCTGTAAGTTATAAAACTTTGTCTATCATAGTTTTTTTTTAAATGGAAAAACATGTTTGGCATCTGAAATCTCTTGAGAAGAAATCAAAGCTTTTTACTGAAGCTTGTTAGTATCTTTCTGTGTTTGAAAGTTTAATAATTTTGAAGAGAACAAAGCAAACTTGACGTTTTCTGGATTATTATTCTTTCTTTCTTAATTGAGCAGTACCAGTAAGAAGGGAGTTCCTGTGTCATGAAATTCCTAGGTCTTTTTCCCCTAGGTTTTCAAGAAATGTTTGAGAGCTGGGGAATGTAATTAAAATCTTATTCTCCCTTTGGCTGCATTTTTAATTTTGAATTCAAACCCTCACACAGCGTAATAGAGCTTTGCTTTAGGGTGTTTTATACCTCTATCAAAGTGTCTGAAGTAATTAGTATTTTATACATTTTGGTAAGTATTTTGCCACTGGATGCACCACTGCAGGTGAATGATAATGTTTGAAGCTCTGGCATTGACAGGACCCTAAATGAGAATGTCGCCTTTTAATCAAGAGCACTTGGAGTCTATGGTATTGAAATGCCCTACAGAGAACATAGAAAAGCCATCCATCACTTTGTGACAGTCCAATCTTTTAGTGCATGAGTAAAATTTTATTCAGCCTTTCTAAGGCAGTTGGAATGTAAGATGTTTTAACTCGCCTCGGAACAGCAGTGTAAAAGTTCGAAAGCACAACGTACAGATTGCTTTCCGGACATCATATGTGTCTTTATGCATTATCTTTATTTAGATTGCAATAGAAACATTTTCCATATCCTGCTTCAAACACTTTCACCCTCCCTGTAATACCCCCAACAGCTGAGATCATGTCTAAATTTTGGTCACAGATTTGGAGTTAATTTGCATAGTTGATTAACTTTTGATGCTCAGCAGAAATACTCAGCAAGTTAGAGGGAAATAGCTGCTGCCTTAGGAAGGGCAGATTTTGTAAGTCTCTCACAGAAAAGTAGTTTGACATGTGACTCAGAAGTCCTCTGGGGAATGCTTGGAAGAAGCTGAAGTACATTTAGTGACATGTACATGGAATTATAAGCTATTATTGTAATAATTCAGTGATCTATTTCAAGCTTTGTGTTGTTATGTTTGTTTTTAACAGCCCTCCATTGCCTTTCTGTATAAGTGAAAGCAGCAACAGCATTTGAGGACAATGTCATTTAAGCAAAAATATTTTTATGTTAGGCATTTGGGAGATTTACTTTTGATGTCAATGGAAGCAGAAACCTGTTCCAGGAACCGTGTCTTTTAAGATGAGTTGGCAATGATGAAACAATGAAATCCATTGACTTAAATGGATTTCCTCCCAATTTACACTGTATGCATGATTATCTTGCCCACCCTACTAGCTGCTTGAAATCAAGGAAATTGATCTGCACTGTATACTTAATACTTTTTTTCAGGTGGCTACTACTCGGGTTTTTTTGTTTAGTAAATAGAGTTTTTCAGTACGCTGTGGACATTTTGAAGCTGAAATAATTTTATTTTTTTTTTAATCCCAAAATAAGGTAGGGCCTTCCGTAAAGGGTGAACGTTCCTAAAATGCTACCATGTACCAGAGTTCTGAGAGAGAAAAGGCTGTGGAAATTGTGTTGGGCTTCATTTTAGTGAGTGGAAGGGGAGAAAAAGCTTTTTCCTACTGGATCCATGAACCAATAAAATGCAACCAAATGGGAAAGATGTGTTCATACATGTTACTGAATAAGTCTTTCCAGCAAACTTTTCTGTCACAGACATGGAGAAAGTTAATCTATTTCAAGAAGGTGCTATTTTTTCAGTCTTACCTCCTTACTGAGTCTTCAGTGAGTTTGCTTTCAGAAATACACTATGCTAATAACATTGGTGATGAGAAATTTTTTAGCCATCATTTTTGCTTGAGTTTAAGCATGTCTGAGTCTGACACCTTTCTATGTGAATTTTTCCCAGCAATGTGAAGAGCTGCATTTTTGTCTGCTAGAGTGGACATGTTCAAGTTGTAATGGCTCCTGTCATCATGCAAAGTTAAATGAATTAAATATTCAGAATGTGCAAGAGCCAGTGCCAGGCTTGTTATATGGTCAAAGCTAATATATTAATCAAATGGCTTAATATATGTTCCAGTATGAGCTGGGACTCTGTTAAAAAGCTGACATTCATAGTCTACTCCCAGTTTTGAAAAGTCTGCTTGTATCATCGCGGCTGTCATCTAGTGACATTCGTGCTCTGTTTCCACATGGCATTCTCACTCACTGTAATTGGCTGCTAGTGAAAATACAGGTATTATCCATCGATTTTATAAATTACCATTTTCTTCCCTGGCTGCATGCCAGAGGTTCATCAGGGTGTCACAGAACTTGTAGCAACTTCCTCAGCTTTTAGCTGTAAGTTGGTTATTGCTGCTTTAGGAGTAACCTACTACAGGAATAATTAGACATATACCATTAACGAGGCTGAGTTAAAACAACTGTGTCAATGAAATAAAGAATGTCGTTGTAGTATTATTGTGATTATGAAAATTAGCTGCCAAAAGTAAGTAAAAATAATTTAAACTAGTTACTGAATTTCACATACTAAAATTGGAGACAAGTGGGTACCTCAGCAAGCCAAACTGGGAGTTTGGGGCAAACTTATCACCAAGTGTGAAGGCTTGGCTTAGAACCAGACCCCTCTTCTTTCTTACTTTTCGATAGTGACATACAACCTCCTAGTCATCACTGTAACACAAAGCCAGACTATCAGAAATATTGAATGCAGAAGCAAAACCAAACCAAAAACCTGTGTATGTAGTCACCTTCATCTACAACTGCTGTACTCAATATGGTGTTAAAACTGACTACTGACTGATTTCCAGAAAACAAAATAGAGAAAATCAAGACTTACAGGATTGGTTTTGCTCCCTTAAACTAGAAACTCCCTTTCCAGTTCTTCCAGAATTTATTAGTGCATTTTAATTTTCCTTTACCAAAACACTGTTCAGTTTATCTTCTATTTTTAAATCCTGTTTTGCCATGTAAAACTGTAACATCTAGAAAAAATGGCTGCTGACAATCATAGTATACTTTCAGTGATGTGCAAATCCATTCTTCTTCTAAGCCATGACATGCATGCTATGCAGTGATAGGATGCCAGAAATGCACAAATTTACATCTTTGACTTTTCATATTTTTTTATGGTTTTGATACATTGTAAAATCCTATTAGTCTAAACAACAACAAAAAAAAGAATAATCATAGAACATAATCCAAAAGTAAATAGGTAAGAAATGATACTTCAGCATATCTTAGTTATTCAGTTATGCAGTTTTCATCCTTGCTGGGGGAAAAAAAAAATAACCAGAAAAAAAAAAAAAGGAATAATGATTCAGACAATCACTTTTATAGTATGCTAATTCAACCTGGTATTTAGTCCCATCACAGACACCCATCCCAAACCCCACAATGCTGATTCCACCTAGAAGTAGCCAAAACAAAGAATTCAGCTTCCATGGTCTACATGTTTTGCTTGTCCTCTCCCTAAACAAAACCAGACAGACGGAGCAATTTTTGGAAATCCTGTGAAGAGCGATACATCTGCGGTAGGGATTTTGGAACAGAATATATTTTAAAAAACTAATAGATCTACCAAAACCTAAGATTGAAAGCAGTATGTGCATAGGCAGCCTCCTAGTGTGTGTTTTCTCCCACCACAGACGGCATATACAGTAGGGTCCAAACTAGGCTCATTCCTGGGGTTTGGCTTTATTCAAAAGAAACCAGTGTTAAGGTAGCTAAGCTTTACATCAGGTCTCTTTTCCAGACTTGGCAGGTCTTACAACAAACCTCTTAGGACTCCCAAGTGTTTGCTGCAGGTCTTCACTCTCTCTCAAATTGTTGCTGTCTCCTAACCAAGTGAAGTCGTCAGCCAGCTTCCTCCCTTGGTGACTGTCACCCAGTCCTAGTAAATAACAGGGAGGACAGCATCCCACCCGCTGGGATGTGCTTAGTACATGGTCTTGGGAAATGAAATGCAAAAAAAGAAGCAGCTCCCATCACTATTGCTCCCGTCAATCCCAGGAGTGATAGAGGTTGCTGATCTGACACACTCTGGTTGTAGGTAAAATTCAGGTAAAGCACATAAACACAACTTTACAGAGGAAATAAAATTACACAAATGGTCCTATAAGAAGCCTTTGACCTGCTGTCTGCAGCTTTTAAAACATGTCATTCCAGTCAAGGCTGCTGTACACATGGCTAAATAGATTACTTGGGAGGAGGAGAACAGAGAGAGGTAACATGGGAAGATGGGAAGAGGTGGTAGCATGGACTTCTGTGGAGGTTAACAGCCAGAGGAAGGAAACGATGAATTTACTGATGGCTTAGCTGTAGTCTTTACTGTAGTGTTTTTATTGTTATTTGGGGTAAAACTAGCATAAACATATGTTGCTGTACTGAATTCACACTTTCATTTGCCAGTGCAGATGTACCCTGTAAATGTAAAGCCACTCCAAAGTCTTTGTTGTTACAATCTTCAACAGCCTATGGAGAAAAACAGATACTGCCTAGTGACTTTTGTAGCAGAAATTCCCTACAGCCCTGGTGACGTGAACCGCCATTTAAGAGACACAATTTAGTAATAAAGTGCACATGAAAAGCTGCTTCACTCTCTCTTTCCTTGTGGTGTTTACATTACAAGGTCAGTTAAAAGGAAACTTTAAAGAGGCTATCAGGAGTTTCATCCCATGGTTACACTTTCTTTATGGCCCTCCTGCAAAGCATTTGGGATTATCCTAGGACACTGGGAGTGAGGAAGTTAGCTAAGAGACTGGCTGGGTACAGAAAATGTTCTGGGGACTGGTTGTGAGTTGGGCAGGAAGGGGAAATTGCCCCACACGTGACCGGGGGTTACGGCACACATTGAGCTGAACATGTTCCCTGGTGACAGGCGCTTCCTCACTGTGCTCACGAAAACGCCATCACTTCACAGGACTACAAAGGGGAGTTGAGTTAATTCCTGTTTGTTTGCTCTGACACATGACAGTGAAGAATGAAATATCTTCCAAACTAAACAACCAAGCACATATGGGAGAGATTTGTTCACCTAATGTTAAAAAGCTAAATGTTACCTTTACTGTATGGCAACTGTTCACTGAGAAATCTTCTTTCAAGCTGTAAAGAGTGTTTTGTATTATCATTGTATTACTGACTTTCAGGGGTTTGCAGTACAAAGGTAGATCATATTGGTTAAAATTAATTTGGCATCTATTCTCCACCCCCTGCCCTTAAAAAACTTTCAAAAAACAAACCTGAAACATTAAATGGTGTTTCTTATGCTTTAAATCCTAGCATTTTAAAACACAGGCTGGACAGAGTTGTACACTGTCGAGACACTTTTGGTGTGTGGCTATAAAATCGCTGAGGATATCAGCTGAGACTCTGCAGGCTGCACGGAAAGAGCATTTCAAAGCTCTGTACTTGCCAGAGTTCACTCTGTGCAGTGGCACGTTATTCGGGAAGCAGTGCTTCTACTCCATTCTTTAATGTTTTTCCAGGAAGAAAAGCACATTAGCTGTATGTCTGTCTTCCATAGTGCTACTGCTAAAATCAGTTTTCATACAAGCGATGCTGAGTGAGGGAACTGGCATGGCTCTACAATATGTCTATATCTCAATTCCCAGCATTTAACTGGGATCATAGTATTCAGTCTTACTTGTTTCCCAGCCTGTCACAGGGCTCTCAAGTCATGGTATCAATTGCATACCACTATGGTATGCAAGCTGCTTTACAGTCGTGCACACCAGCCTGCACCTTTTGCCTTGAAGAGGAAACCACTGCTCTCAAATTGTCTATGACGGATCCAGAAGATGCTGCTGGCATTTTGTCTCAGTGGGACTGGAGGATGACTTGAATGTTCACGAGGCCCTGAAAAGCAGCAGCTGCTGCTCCGTGTCCTGCTGCCTCTGCCACTGTGCAAGGAATACTGGCACAAACAAAATCAGCATCTGGTCTGTAATGTGAGTTACGCCAGCTCTTAGCAGCACTAATACCTGAAATCCCTCAGGGGTTGGTCCGGAAAAGAAACAACGTGTAGAATTTTAATTCAGGAACTGTCCTGCCAGTAACAGTTCCTTACTTTCCTTTCCTATGTGCCAGCAAGATCAGTGCTGAATCCACACAGAAAAACCCACTGAAGACTATGAGTGGAATACGTCAGTGTAACCAGCTGCAGAAATCAAGGACTATATGTACAAGGAAGCTTCCTCCCCTTTACTGTTCAACTGTTTTCGTTTGCTCTCTCTCAAAAAACTAGGTGCTGTTTTGAGATGTTGTTGAAATGGTAGTCAAAACCTGTTTCATAAACAACAGAATACTTAGGAAGAGATCGCTGAAGGGACAAAAGTGGTAATTAATAAAAAACTGTAGGATTGGATTTAAAACTGACCAAATGGTACCAAATAAAAGGCAAGAATGCTTTGAAGAGTAACTGTAAGTGCTGCTTCCTCCACTTAGAGTTTTTATAGTGAAAATGAGCAGTATCAGAGATAATTTATTCATCAAAAATAGTCTCATATCTCAAGCTTCTCTTTCTCAAGATTGACTTTAATGTTTGCTGCTGAAATCCAAAGTGCTGGAAGCGTGCATGTACAAGAATGTAGTTTGAAACCTAGCAACTCATTGTACCAAGCCACTTTACCCAGGATTGCTGAAGGTATTTTCTCGCTCACTGTCACATAATGCACATATTTCTAAACATCCATCTGCATTTCTTCTGTTTCTTTGACAGCTGCTGCCTTTTAATGTTGTCCTCAGCAAGGAAAGAATTGAATTTAAGCTGCAGACTTCAATGTTGCTTCCACTGATGTTATTATGGTAGTATCCTCTGTACTATGAGTTTAGAGGACTGACTGTTGTTTTGAAAATAGATCATCATATATTTTATTTTAATAAGACTCTATAAATATGACTATTTTGCTTGAATACTTCTTTATACCATACTTGGAATATTTAAGACCTCTCTTTGCTGTGTTAAAAGCAGGCACTGTTGAATAACTGATGTATTTCCCCAAAGAAGAGTTCAGCTTGCCTAGTTTCTAATCCTGTAATTACTTATGTGTGTAGTTAAGAATACAAACACTTCCCTTGTAATCACACAGAGAAGAATATGCTGAATCATGGTCTTTGCTATATAGTCTCAGTTTCTAGAGGTACTCTCAGAATTCAGTAATAAGAATGGTCCTTTTTTTCTCCTACTTGAAAGAGTATTGTATCAACACAGAAGGAATTGCAGTGCACGTTTTCACAAGAAAACATACTTTTTTTGTTGTTCAAAGAATTATCTGTCTGAAGGTAAAGAAACATTTTAACCACCCATTTAGTAAATACTGATTTAGCTTTTAGCTAGGCTTTGTGTTATTCAAGAACAAAGAATCAAGGTATGAAATCCTATTGCCTGAACTGCCAAACTCAATGGCAAAATTCTCATTGGCTTCAGCATAGATCAGGATTTGACGAGGAACATTTATGTATGCCATCTAGGCCAGTTCTGGTAGTGTGGAGACTTACAAGGTGCTCACAAAATAAAAACCCACATAAACTCAGGCATGCAGAACTATCAGAAATTGGTTAGACCACCACACAACTTTTTTAGCTTCCCAGTCACACACCCCCCCCTTCCCTAACTGTTCTTCCTACTGAGTAAATAATCCACAAAGAAAAGCCTAGAAAACACCAACTAGTACCCATGTAGATTTTGTGAGGCTTGTATGTAAGATTAATATATATAATATTTTTTTTTCTCTCAATCCTCACTCAGGCATGATTGAAGCCAAGGATGGAGAATAAACTGATTAATCAATTGTTTCTTCAGAGCCTTGAAAACAACTTTCAAATAAGTTTTATATATTGCTATTAATGCTCTAATGTGGAACATTCTGAAATAGATCCAGCGTACATTTCTGCTGTTTCAGTTTCTTGCATTATGTAGAGATGGCTTTCATTCATACCGAAATAAACCCAATGCTGTTTTTACATAGTAGGCTTTGGCTATTCTATTCCCTTCCTCCCTTTATATGTCAGTTGTAAACTGCTTGGCAAATACTCTGTTTCATGCTTCCCCACTGCTGGTATACAACATTTTTAAAGATTCAAAAGAGTCAGGAAGGCTAAAAAGACAACAGGTAGGTAATACAGCAGATGACTGTCGCCAGTTAGACTTGCTCAGAGTAACAAGTATTTCTTTTCTTCAGAGTGCAGGTGGAGAGGCCATGAATGAAAAATTTCTGAACACAGACTCCAGCACAGGATCAGTGGAAACAACCATCAAGCCGTTACCATTTAAAGATCCAAACTTCATTGTAAGTATGTTATTGTAACAACTTGAAATACTAAACTATTCAAACATTAACTAGGTTTCTATTTAACCATATTGCTAATGTAAATATTGAGTAAGTCAGCTTAACAGCCAAATAAAGGGTTGACAGTTTTTAAGAAATTCACCCCAAGCCCATGCCACACTATGGTCCAAAATGCACACTGTATTATGTCCTGAAAATGGTACTGGTCCAGAGGCAGAACTATTATATTAAATTCTGGAGCAGAGTCGGAAAACCTGCTAGGTCAAGGTAAGTGCAGAAGTTTTGTGGTGTGGTATCTCACGAACTAGCACAACTACAGTGGAACAATTAATACTGCTGCAAATGTAGGAATCCCATCTCCCAGTTCCTAGCCAAGACAGGCTGCAATGCAAATTGAAATCAGCCAGAGAGTCATTAGCAACTGGCATTTTGCTCCTCTCCTGGTCCCTGAAACTCTTAACCGATCTGTGGTGTCTGTTCTTCCAGTAATTGCTAGATTTAGAAGCAAAGGCTCCGTGCTCCCCAGAAGCCCAGCCTGCTGGCATTCAGAAGTCATGTAAACTCTGACAGCTGATGAAGTACAGGCTGCTAAAACACACTGAGCTTTAAATTGCGGGAGAAGGTGAAGGAAGACTACCGCTAGTAATACTGTCACTGCTGGGTTTTTTTAATATCTTTTTATCTCACTGTGCCAAGGCCAACTCATTGGCACACTGTATAAATGCTTTCTAGACAAGCAAACTTCTCAGACTGCTGGTCCTAAGCCAGTACTTAGAAAGAAAGATTTTATCCCAGATTTCATTCTGTATGAATAAGATACACTATCCCACAGCAAAAAACCTGAGTAATCAGGCATCACACAGCTCACTAAGCACAGGTTTGGCAGGGGATATAAAATTAATCTCTGACTTGGAAGTTGTCTTCTATCTGCTTTGCAGATGACTTCGGTTGCAAGAGGGGCATTCAAACAACCATATGTTTTGCTCACTCAAATGCTCCAGTGAGTACTAGTGTCTTTGAGAAATGGGGCTTATTGGAAAAGCTGCATTTGTGCCCAGAGGCATTCCATGTAGCTTCCATAAGGGATTTAAATAGCCATGAGGCCTTGCACTTCTGTTCTTAGAGGGATGTCACCATTTCCAAAGAGGCAATATTAATGTCTGCATGCTTGAAATAATAATGAATGTATAGGGCCTTTGGCAACTGCTGCAGAAATAATAGACAGTTACAATAAAAACATGAAATTGTCCTCTCCAGTACTGTAACTAATTTGAGAAGAAATATATTGAGTTTTAACTAGCTTTTTGTCAGTATGAACTGGCGGTAACAATTTGGATGATGTTTTGCGTTCTGCTGGCCTAACTTGCCTTTAAAGGAAGGAAATAAATCACATAATGTTTATCTCATAAATATACCCAATTTTGAACCACTGCAGAGGATAGACTTAAAAGCAGAGAAGGAGAAAGAAATGACCACCTTCTAACCTGAATGGAATTTGCATCCCTTGGCAGTGGGGATGGGGAAGAAGAACATCTGACTATTGTGCAGAGCAATGAATAGCTCCACATAGTTCCAGCTTTCCCTGAACTTCCCTAGTGTAGAGGTTGCTTGGTTCATTTGTGCTTGGCAGTCATTTCCCTTTGACTGTAGGTATGTGAGGTGATACCCAGTTCCTAGGAGGCATAAGTTCATATGAACCCAATAGTTGCTTTTGATAAACCAGATCACTAAAAAAAAATAAAAAATTATTATGCAATGATTTGGGGGAAAATTCATGTAATGAATTTGAATTACTAATGTGGTGTTACATCTATTTTCATCTCATATTCCAGCAATCTTTATTTTACAATGATCTCTAGATTACTAAGGTGTTACCCTCAGAGCAAACATTTGCATGTACTTTCTACACTGGATATCCATTGCCAAAACCCAGTATATCATCAGCTCATGAGCTTTTCTGAGTAAATCTTAACATCTACAGAAAAAAAAGCTTTCTCATTGAATTCTTCCTTCTATCATTCTCAGCAATTGAACAAGCTAATTTATAAACCAATCACAGCAGAAGTGTTTTTGCAGAACTTTGCTGAGTTCTGATAAGACTGATGTGGCAGGTGGTAATTATTAACAGAAATAACAACAACTCCCCAGATGTAAGAACATTTTCTTTTCTGAACTAAAGCTTTAAATCCGTGTCCTTTGATCATTTAGAAGTAGTACAGTATGTTGTGCAGCTTCTGTCTCTGGAGGGACATAAATAAATTACTCTGTAGCAATCACATTTGATAACTGAAACTACTATTATAGTACCTGTGGCAAGCTTTCCATTAGTGTACCTTTCAAAATGCAAAATTATCTTGGCAGCCAACATTCTATTTATTACTCCTTTTCTATTCCTCTGTCTTCTATCCTTTGAAAGAAAAATCAAATTTCCCAAAACTTTCTCATAATACTCATTACATTTTGCAAGATCCATTGTGTAGTTGTGTTTTCTACAGTCACTGATAATCTGTAAAAGAGCTACAGCTGCCTCTGTAATATGCCATAAAAAGGAGAGAGAAAATTTAGCCGTGTAATCACAACTTTAGACACAACTTCATAGTAATAAGTTCCAATAACATGGGAAGTACATACAGAATCCTGTAATCTCAGGCTAAACGTAATTGCATTGATTTTCTATTTCCATGTAAAATGCAGATTTTCATTTCCTTCAGTTAATCGTAAGCATAGTAGCTTTGACACAGTCCAAAAAGCTTTGTTTTTCTTGCAGCCAGGATTAAAGTGTACAGCCTGCTGATGAAATAAGTGAGGATAACAAATGGTTCACGACAAGATAAGACATATCAGAAAGACTGTGAAATAGAAGTGTCATGCTCTGAAATAGCATTCTTAATTTATTTTTTTTCTCTAAACACCGTATCTTTAATTCTAGCACTCTGGCATTGGTGGAGCAGCAGCTGGCAAGAAGAACAGAACTTGGAAGAACCTAAAACAAATTCTTGCTTCTGAAAGGGCATTGCCATGGCAACTAAATGATCCTAGCTGTAAGCTGCTTAGATGCTTTGCATGTATTTATAAATAATAAAATCCACACAAATAACTTTCTTTAAAACAAACCTAAATTGTTTCATCAGTGCATACAGTATCCTGCTTGAACGGGGTCCAGTAGTACATTTAAGACTAATCTAATCACACTCATCAGCCCTAAGTGGAAAGTAGGGGGAGGCAAATAATTTGGAGTATTGTGACAAAGTTCAAATACATTCAGGGAGAGTTTAATAAAGGGAATGTATTTATCCAAAGCAGGTCAGAAACTTCTTATTCCCATCAGGTTTTGGTCACCTCTTTACTGCTGAGGAGCCTTCTCCTCTGCATTCTAGCCCAGTTATCTTCTAATGGGTGACTGATGCTTGATTAACTGTATTTGAAGTATTTTCAGATAGATTCTGCTAAGCCACATACCTGCAATAGCTTAGACTTCAGCCCAAGGTTCCTATCCAGCTCCTTAGCCTAGATTCTTGGGAGACTTAAATCCTACATCCCCTATTCAGTTTAGCACAGCTGAAACTACGCTACTAGCAATCCTGATTAGCAGTTGTAGCTGGTGCACATCCACAGCAGTAGAGTTACAGCAGTGGTCTTAATCTAGATAAACTTCAAGTCTACTCATAAAGTAGGATACGACTGAACATCGCTTAGAGGCAGAGCGTGATCCTCAGATTCTACTTGAGCAAGTGGAGGCATTTCAGAATTGAGCATATGCATACACTTTTTGTCAGACTTGGTGCTTTATCCAAAAATAGCTTGCCATTTTTTGAAGTGTTTTAGACACAACTGTTACAGAAAAATGCAAGCTACTGTGTGTTCCTGGTTATTGTAACTGACAATCTGCTGACGTTGCTATTTCTATTACGTTCTGTTTGCAACTATCAATTTACAGGATTTTTAAGAAGGAGGGAAAAGAAATTCAGTTGCATATTTAAAACCAGCTGTCTGTGGCATTAGTGTCTTTTGAATTATGAGATGATGAGTTAGAAATTTGATATGCATGGAGCATTTGAGTTGATCATAGCATCTGAATGAGGTGCAAGAGAGATCAGGAAGGAGGAAAGAAATGAATCAGGTACAAGATATTTTTGTAAACATCCAAAATGGTGATTTAACTACTTAAACATACCAAATGTATCCTAAAATAGTTTATGAATGAGAGTTGCTATCTAAAGGGCACCAAAGAACAGTAATTTCCATCATTTAATTTAAACATTCAGACAATTTTCTAGGTCATTGGCTGGGCTTAAAGTGGTACATGCTTAAAGACTTAACTAACTGATTTAAAAGATTACTTCGCTTTTCTGGATTATGGTATTTCAGAGCTGCAATCTTGAGCAATGTTTTGTGGCCGTAACATACAGAATGCATTTGATAATGGCTATTCTTTGCAAATAACTGACTGCAAGGAATTCGTTGAGACTGAAATCAGCACATTTCAAATAGGGGAAGGCAGTTCTGCTTATTAAACTTGTATTTAGACAGGTGAGCAGAACCAGGCTGTTCTGTACAGTGCCAACAGGCTAAATATTTTCTGCTTCATGTTTCTTTGCCTTAGTGTTGCTAGTTAATGGAGACTTCAGAACTTTTAAAGAATTATTGTTACCTATTTACACTGGTTTGGGTTATGTTTCAAAATATATGTAACACACTGAATTTATCCCTTTGTTTCTCTTTAGATTTTAATATTGATGCTCCTCCTTCCTTCAAACCTGCCAAGAAATACTCAGACATTTCAGGACTTCCGGTAAGTATTTTGTTTTTCTCTTCAAAATTGGCATCTCACTTTCCACAATGAAATAAAGCTGGTGCTTGCTTTTGTAAAAGATATACTTGTTGAGTATCCTATTCAGCCTTGTGCTTAATAGCTGTCCAGTGATTTAGGACCAAACCCCAAATACTGTTGCTATATTGCAAAATCCTTTGGTTGTTAATACATGTCAGGACAGATTAAATCCCTATTCCTGCCAGGTGGCTTCTGTCACACCATGTTCCCAGCTGTAGAGTCTGAATTGATCCCCATCATTTCTGATTCTTTAGATTGTTACAGGGAAAGCTGGTAGCCCAGTCTCCATGACTGCTAACTTTGTCGAGCTTTAACCACACAGACGGAAACTCTCCATGCTGAGAGTTTTGCCTGAGGCTGATTTATTTCATTGTATCCTTTAGAAAAAAGTTTTAAAAAGATGGCTCAGCAATTTCCAAACATGAGATGAGGCAAAATCATATTGATTGGCCCAGGTTAAAAATCCCCCAACCACTTGTTGTCATTGCTCTCAAACTTTTCCTCAAACAAATCAGCCTGAGACAGACACTTGGCATGGACTTTTAAGAATGTCAAATACCCCCATGCTTCAGAGCTGGAACTTGGATTTTGGCAGATGTATAGCCTGTGTGTCACAGATGGGCTTTTTTACATGGTTTTGTTAAAGAAAAGAAAAAAATAAAAGGAAAAAAAATAAAAATAAAAAGAAACCAACCCACATTTGACTTAGGTACGGTTTGCACATGCTTCAAAAGTCTCGGTAGTTACAATTTGGCACCTGAATTCCCCAAAGATTCTGTTGGCACAGAACAGGAGTAAAGTCATTGAATTCTGCCCAACAAAAGTTTTGTATCTGCTGCAGACACTGTTCCTATGTGACATGAATAATTTAAAGAATACTTAAAACAAAACAGGTGTCGGTAACAGCATATCTTTTCACTTTTCACCCTCAGCCCCCAGTGATGCATTTTGTAGAATCCTATGCTTGTATTACAATTGAAATGAATGGGAATGTTGTATTTTGGACTATAAAAAGGGTTAAGTAATAGTTACACTAAATAACCCCAATAATGAAAACTTTGTCATGTCAAAGAGTGTTAGACAGAATTTCTGGGTCTCTTCCCACAATTTAATATGTTTTTCACATATAGGGCACTAGCCCACCTCACAGGCTTGATGTCATCTCATAGAGATGCTTATAGATGTACACATTTGTTATGTTGATGCAGGTTAACACAACACCTTGCATTCTGTGCACTGAATTAGGTGAAAGTCTCTTAGGGAAAAAAAAAATAGGATGAGCACTTAATTAAGGACTGGCTTATAGTGGATACACAGTGGGTACACAGTGCAAGGCATAAAGAATGGCTATAGCGCCAACTACAATCCTGCACATCATAGCATTTGAGTTCTTCATCTGTAGCATATGTTTTCTTTGACTTCTTTATTTTTCAAGTTACTCATTTAAATAAGGCACCTAAGGAGGTGGCGTATTTCCAGCCTGTGCCTTTGAGCATGATTTGGAAATGGAGTGGGTTGCTCGGATTGAAGCTGCTAACCCTTGGTGTTCAAGAGGGAAAGGAAAAGCAACATCTCGCTTGCAGATGAACTGGCAGACAGCAAATGGAAGATACTGCTCAAAAACTCAGGGAAAGTAATTCTCTACAGCCAGGCAGACTTACAGTCTTGTATTCTTAGGATCCTCTTGCTTTGATGTAATAGCAGCTTGTTTTCAAACTAGGAGCAGGGGTCAGCTAATAAGGAAACTTGCCTAAGTACCCCTACTCTATAGGATGCAATGGATGGAGGAAAAGAGATTAGGTGGTGTCATGGTTTAAGCATGTGAAATAACAAGCAGATTTCACCAAAACAGCAAAAATTCCATAGTGGGTCACTTAATGATGTTCGTCTGTTTCCTGTCCTCTCAGAGTTGCTTTGCAAGTATTAGTGGCATTCAACCCAGATATTACTAGAATTGCTGCAGTATCTGTGACCCATGAGGTGTTTATGTGGGGCAGAAAGCATAAGTCCCTTTCTCTGCCTCATCTCCAAGGAACCAAATAATGCTTTCCAGCATTGCCTTTTGATGCATTTCAAAACTAGCCAGCCCTTTCACCTAGCACAATGATGGTGCAGGTAGGTTATAGATGTGAGTGAAGACCGTGTCCCTGCCAGCTAAGGTTCAGTTTAGCCAAAAGAAATAAGAGTCGTCTTCTCAGTTCCTCAGTCTTTCTTTATCAGCTCCTCCTTTCCATCAGTGATTTATGTACTCTGAACTACTCTAGTTCAGTATAAATACTCTCCATATGAGTCCATTCAGTGCTGCTTTTGTTTCCTTTTTTGTCTTTCCATTTTTTTTCCCCCCTTTAATTTTCCGTCCTCTAATTGCATTGTGATTCAAGTTTCCTATTTTACCTGGCCTGAAAGGTTTCTCCAGACTGTGATAAAAATACCATGTTTAAAAAAGATCTTTTTTGTTAAGATAACTGAGACAGCATGTCCTTTAAATTTCTAAACTGGAAATGTTTCATAAGAAGCACTAAATATACTTTCAAGCTAATTCCCTAGCAGGAAGATCTGTGGGGTAGTAGAATATTTTGGAAATCTAGTGTAAGAAAAACATCCCTTTATTTTTATGTAAAATCTGAAAGGATTTGTGTAAGAATATATTTTCTGTGGGAATGCTGGATTCCCCATGGGTGAAAAAAAAAGTAAAATAAATTCCTTAGCATTACCTAATATTGGAAGAATGAAATGGTCTAGCAGGCACAAATAAAGGGAAGTGTATTAAAACGTTCTTGTCAGTATACCCATAGTTATATTAAACCCCACAATTAAATTCTACTGATCCTTTTCTTTTCCTGTGTGTAACACAGCTGGAATTAAATTTACCAATAGTCTGAGCAGAGCTGCTGGTTTATATTTGTAAGGCAACCTAGAATTCAAAAGCTATTATCTACTATATTGACAATGCAAAATAGAACTATGTTTTCAAAACTTGCAAGATGAACATTCAGATATTTTAACATGCAAACGAGAGTAATTTATTGTAAAGCAGATAAAAAAACCCCAAGCAAACATTCAGATGTTTATATTTCTCTTCCTTTTTTTGAAATTGGATCAGCCTGGTTACTATAGAAACAGATCAAGAAAACTTATTTATTGTATTTGGAGAGCATGTATCTGTGGCCTTTGGCTTAGCTTCTAAACGTGACAGAGTTTTTTTTTCTTTGCAAAATCACCTCACTTCACTTTTCTAATCTGTTGTGATTATTGCTGAAGTAGCAGTAAAGTTTGTTTTTAGGCTGAAGTCATGGCATAAATGAGTAGTCAGGCATGTGCAAACAGTACAGCCCAATATGAAGTATCAGAATGGTGAAGAGTTCTGCCGTAGTATTTTTCACCTTGATTTATGTGCAATACAAATTGCAGATATTGCTTGGCTGGTTTATTACAGATTCGTGCACATTTGAACAGCAGTCTACTTGGTTAGGTTTTTCTTCCAAGAGGGCAGAATTAAAGTGTGAAATAAAAATAAATTTATACATGAATTTATACATGGTAACATGAAGTTACCACCAGGGATAAATTTACTCCTAATGTCCTAACTTTGTTTGAAAATTAATTGTTGGCTTGACTGTTAGCTCACTACAGTTATTTAACCTTGCAGCATTTCTTTGTAAAGAAACAAGCTACAAATAACACTTAATTTGCTGCTAACTCTTATCAGGGCAGATGATTAACTGGATTGTTACCATGGTCAACAGATCCTTTCCAACATAAAAGTGGTAGAGGGCTCTGCACTTAGGAGGGGAATGCTCTGGCTCTTCCTGGCCTTTTCTTTTTTAGTAGCAATGTCTTAAGGGATATCAACTGCTTGTGCCTTTCAGCTTGCCACCATGTCCTGATAAAGAAAGTTACAGAAGAACACTTCTAGAGCCTTGTCAGGCACTTGGTAATCCAGTGCTGAACAGGCAGCGATTGTCCTGAAGGCTGAAGGTGGAGAGGCAATACTCTGAAGCTGCCTTCTTCTAGCCCAGCCTTCTGTTCTGCCCCTGAGCTCTAGGTTTCTGTAGCAACATGGAAGGGGAGAGGATGAAGGAAACTGGCACTGCTTCCAGGCACCCTGGGTCCAAATATAGCAGGGGATACAAACGTAGCCCAGGGTTAGCTGGCCAGGCTGCTATTCTGAAAGCAGGCTTCTGTAGCAAAGCACAGAACAGAGTTCAAATTTCTTATCAGTTCAGTCACAGAACCATAAGCTGAGACTCCCTTGCTTTAACAGCCACTTTAAAGTAAATTAAAAGCTAAGTTGTATGCAGGAAGAGAAAACCAGTCCAAAGCTATCAGAGCACCCATAATTCAGCCTCTTTGTGGGTAATTTATTGGCAGCAGCCTGACTCTTTGGAGAGCTGCCTTGAGAGAGACTGCACAAGGCACAGGGTTGCTAGGGTGAGTTTAGAAAGTTGAGGAATTTCTTTTGCACAGTGTTTTGTATGAAACTATTTTGGCTCTCTGTTATGTTTAATGCATTTCTAATGTGATTTTATAGGGGTCTGTTAACGTCTCTTAAATTCTGACATGAGGAGAAAGACACAAGTATGAACCCTTAGTCACATGGTAGAACAGCAGTGCTGTTACTGGGAAAAGAAACTCACTATTTTGTAGTCTTGTAATTAGACACTTTTTTTAGCATTCTGTTTTGAGACATCATTTGAATAGTGCCTCTGCCATTGTTTCTTTTTCAGGCAAATTACACAGATCCCCAGAGCAAGCTGAGATTTAGTACTATTGAAGAATTTGCCTATATTCGGATGCTCCCTTCAGATGTGGTTACAGGATACCTGGCTCTAAGGAAAGCAACAAGTATTGTTTCCTGAAAAGACCAAGTATTGTTGTATATTGCTTGTGAACAGTGCTAATTTTGAGAATCATGGTGGAAACTGACTGTGGGACTGAGGTTCCTTAAAAAACTATCCATGGATTTTTACATCTGGAAGTACTACATACGTGGACTTGAAGAACATATGGATTTAATTTTGATAAATGCTGATATTTGTTAGTTTGCCGATTTGTAAGCAATTTGGTTTGGTGAACAGAATAACTTAGACCTTAAGGGTATGTATCTGCAACATAATGTCTGAGTTATATTAATTTCTGTAGAGATGGGATTTCATCTCCACCCTGTATATTTTATGTACTGCTCTGGCTTAGAAGAAACAGTCATTTGAGTTAAGGAAAAGGTATCAAGATATCCCAACTTCTAAACCTGCCTTGCCAAATATGCTTGCCACTTGGCCGTGAAAAGGGTTGTCCCATTTGTAAAATAAAGCTAAAGAAGTATTTAGTAAGTGATGCTATTGTGATGACTCTTCATGGTACTGAGCACTGTGGAAATGAACAGCTTCACCAAATATTTGCATTTAAGAAGTGTCAGCATAAATAAAGCTGGACTCAAACTTGTTTTTAAAATATCCTAACGAATATGCTTAACCAGGTAACTCTTTAATTGTGACACTTTGTAGTTTTTGGGTGCTTCATTTCATAACTTGACTATTCTTCTACCTTTCATAGTCAGTAGAGTATTAGTGTGTTAGTACAAAAAAAAGTACCAATGCCCCAGAGTTATTAAAAAAGATGCTAAAAAAAGCAGGAATTCCACTGTCCAGTGGCATTCTGACACCCAGATGGTCTTCAGCAAGGAAAGACCTCCTAGTCAGGACATTGACCTTTGCACCACGAGGTACTAGAAGAATAACAGCAACTGAATGCTGTTACCCTTTAGAGGAAGGAGGCTGAAGGGGAGTCTTGACTGTTGCTGAGTGGGGCTGACAAGTACATGCGAGCATCAGAATGACCATGATTTCCTGAAACTAAGCCTAGGGGCAAGGGGGCAGAGGGTTTGCTGCCCATTCTTTCGTCTTGTCGTCTTTCATATGAAAAACTGCTGATTTGTTTTCTTCCCACTTTTGTATCTTTGTTACAGTCTTAGACTCTTTGTTTTAATCTGGACTCCAAGTTCAGGCTCAGCCACCCCTGTCCTCCAACCACACAGCCTTCACACCCATACTCCACCAACTGCCCTGTAGCTGTGGCACTTGCCTCTCTTATCTCTCTGAGCCGGTGGCTGTTATTCAGAAAAGCTGCTAGGCAAGTTACCACTTGCTGTGGGAATGCTTTCTTCCCATGTGCAAAATTGCCAAGGTGAAGACTTATCCCATAGCTTGTTAGTCCTGGACTGCCCAGGTCACTGAGGAGGTGAGGCACTGATCACGGGACAGCACTCCTGTCTCACCCAGGCTCCGTCATGGACATCGGGATCTTGTTCAAGGCCCCTCTTCTCTCTTGGTTGCACAAGCAGGATGCAGTGGTAACTAGTTAGTGTCTAAGCTACACTTTGAATGTGCTTTTCTACAGATGTAACTATTAGAACAGATTTTTTTTTTTTCCTCATTGAAAGAAAAAAATATGCAGAGTGTTATTAATGGTAGTTTAATTTCAATTCCAAAACAGGAAAAAACAATAATGGGACACATTGTTTAATGAAAGTCTGTGGGACTCATTCCTCAGTTTTTGTGATCTAATATTTACAAAACCAAAGTAATTTAAAAAGTGTTTGACATGCTTACAATAGATCCTTCAAAGCCCTGGATACCAGATAATGCTACAACTGTATCACAGAACAAAAAAGAATAAGACAGGATATCTCTCTTCATGCCAGTAAGCATCCAAGCCACATTCTCTTTGCATCCGAGTTTTAGAATGGATGTTTTTAACTTACTTTACGTACTGAAGATGTGTTTATGAGATAAGCTTAACATTGATAAGAAAAGAAAACACGTAGAACTACTGTAAGATCATTTATGCCTTAAGCAGACAGCAGCTCAGAAACAGTATTTCACCAGCTTGTTCTCTCCCACAAATATTTTTAACATTCTTTGGGAATGACTGTTTAGGAACCCAGACTCCCTCACTATCATCAGAAGTGCTCTGTGAATTCCTGTGCTGTATATTAAGATGTTGCTTCTCAGCTAATTTCTGCCGTGTGGTGTTTATGCATTCCATTTTCAAAACCTAAGTGTCTTACTGAGAAAATGGGCATCCAAAAAGTAAATACAACTTAGATTTGGCAAAACATTAATGACATCTCTCAGTGCTCTTTATCCATATGATGGCTGCTATATTTGCTTTTCTTTTCTTCCTTGTTTCTTCATTTGTTAGCTGCTGGCCCTTTCTTCTTAGTGATATCTCAGTTTTACTCATTAGGCTGTGCAGTAGTCAAGCCAAGAGTGGTGAGTCAGCCACTAGCACCATTCAGCATTACATTGGTCAACAACAGTTTACTGTGTGGAGCAATCAAAATGAATTTGTTTTAGCAGGAAGCTGAGGACAGAAAAGATCTAGCAGCCAACATCTACAATGTTGTTCAGTCCTACTAGGCTCTTTTTGGGTACAGCATGTGGACCTTCTGCCCTTATCAGTGCTTCTATAGAGAGCTGAGCAATACCTCCCTTGCTGGATATGGGTAATATGGATATTATCCATAAATATGGATACGTGAAGAGCTCATCTGTGTCATGGAGTAATTTTAAACTATGTTTTATTGACAGCTTTAGAAGAAGTGAAAACTGAGAAGTACATTTATATTTAAAAGTACTTATGGGATGTTATCGAGATAAACACAAGTAAGTTGAATTTAAATTGAAAGGAGGACAAAAGAAAGGCATTTGAAAAGACAAGCAGCAACAAATACAATTTCAGATTTGGGGAGAATATATTTTCACTAATAGTACTGCCACATCTGTAAAGCAGAAAGCCAGCAGTCAGGATGAGGACTAATTTGTTCAAGTACAGCCGTTACTATCTGTGAAGTATCACCTGAATGCATTATTTAATACAGACCACAGATGGCTTCAGCCTCACGTGCATTTGCATTAATGTGTTCCCCTGTCATCCCCCTTCATTACCCTTGTAACAGCTTACAGCATACCAGTTGCTAAGCTCCCACAGAAATCTCACTGACATTAATGGGAAGTGAGCTTCTCCAGCAACTCGCAAGGTACAGGCCAATTGGCAAAGCTTTACCCTTAGTCTTTTTGGCAGGTAGAAAACATATTTTCCTTGCTTTATCTGTCTTACCCCTCAGAAAGAATGAGGATGTTCACCAGAGGCCAAGCTCCTGTTTTCTGGTGCAGCTAGCTGCCCTGCTCACTGCTGGAGATGAGCGGGTTGCCTCCAGCTGACTGTGGGGTTGTCTGTATTGTTTTTAAAGGCTGCAGTAGCTTGTATTTACCCCGTGCTTTGAGTGGATGTGCTTGCTGTGGAAGGCCTGGACAAAGCAGGCAACTGCCTCTGCAGATGTCAGCCCCAGGGCAGCAGTGCTGCTGTAGCTGAAGTGCCTGGTACCGCCAAAGCCCTGGTGCTGCTGTACTGCAGCTGGGGCAGGGTCTTGGCCACATGGGGCTGTAGGACTGCAGC